TCATTAATGCTCCCACAAAAAAGGGAACTCACAGCCATTGCCAAAATGAGGTCTGGCTCTCATTATGAGAGTAACCTAAGCAAGGATAAGAGCACCAGCAGCACCCATAGATAATGTATATGTAAAAAAGTACATGTATCTCATTAAGAGGAAATTGTGATACTGAATGACAATGTAAACAAGTACCTGTATCTCATCAAAGCAAAGAATGCTTGCTCCTCTTTGACCTGCTTTCCAGTCAACTAGAAACTTATCTGCTACTTCAGGACGAATATTTTTCATCTGAACCTCTTGTTTATATCTTTCTTCTGCAGCCAACCATTCTTTAACTTTCATATCAACTGGGAGATTCATAATCCAGCTAGATAGGCTTGACTGTAAAGACTTTTCCTCAACTTGATTCTTCCACAATCTATGCATCTCTTCATTTATTTTTAACATGGCCTGCCAATATATAGAAAAATCACAACAAATATTTAACCAAAAGTAGCATAGGGCTGCAACCAAAAACATGAAGACATCTCTCAGAAACTAATAACCTCCAAAAATTATGGCAATAGCACATTTCATTGAAAAATAATCTTTTCAGGGAGAGGGAGTATGTTTGAAAAAAGCCTAAAAATATACCAGGCAGAATTCTCTCTATTTTGCAATTGGAAACACTACACCAGTTTTATTATAAATATACATACATATATATATGCTTCAAATGTGAATCACAGAAATTACTATAGATGCAATAGTAAGATAAAGCACTAGGAAAGCCTCACCTCATGGAAGTGCAACCTTCTTCTATGCTTAATAATCCCTTCAGTGGCACCATAAAACATATCCATAAGCATTGTTTTCCTACATGGAATAATCTTTAGTTAATAGATGTGCACCATTTGTTACCATTATACTTCATGGATCAGAGTAAGATAATTAAGGGAAAAGGAAAAAGTAATTTCCAGTTGTCAATTAAATGACTAGTTACTGAAACTACACAAGTAACATGACGTGCCTCATGAAATTCAGCAACATACCACTTTTCCAACGTTGCCATAAATATATAGTCCACTTTTTCAAGTTGAGGTATTTTGAAGCTAGCGGGATAGGGTTCCAGTGTGATGTTGGTGTTCAGAGGATGAGGTATGGAATCAGCAGCATGGTGTGCAGGTGGGGCACCTCGCTGTTCAGCTACCAATTTTTCTAAACTGTCCACACGTCGAGTGACATCATCAGGGAGGGGTTGCTGAGCTGGTGCTATGTGAGATTAACCTTGAGATTCACTAAGAGCAGGGGCATGCTGAATTGGTTGAGGGTCTTACTGTGGAGCTGGGGTTTGTGGAGCAGGGTTGAGTAAATTGATGAGAGGATCACCAAGGTTGTTCCGAGCTAAGAGCTAAGCCAAGACTAATTAAAAAACACCAAACTGTTGTTGCATGGTAGCAAGCTGAGTTGTGACTACGTCTTGGTTGGCGGTGGAGGCTCAGTTGTGAGCTGAGTTGGGTGGTTGGTTTTCATCCCCTCCTTCTACATGATCAACGGGAGGGAACATATTTGGGATCTGAGCTGGAAGTTGAGGTGGGAGGTTGTTGGGGAGTTTACCTTACCCAAAAGACTGAGATGGATTTCCAGCTCGGACTGATCGAGTGTTAACCATTATGAGAGAGCAACAAGAGAACTTTTAGTTTGGATTCCCACAGACGGCGCCAAATGTAATTGCACCAAATCAGAAGTTCTTCTTCAGTCCGTGTCTGCACTCCAGAATGACCTGCAAAGCCCCGAGGTGGAACTCGGGGTAGACACTTCGATGCTTAAGTCAGCAATAATCGGGGCTATCTTTAGAGTGGAAATAAAAGGAGCTTAGGGTTGATTTCAATTACCTTGTTGACGTGACCCCTGGGGGGTATTTATAGGCTTCAGTGAGGAACCCACGTGGCATGCCAAGCAAGATAATCGGAGTATGACGTATCTCTCCAGATGGTTATTTCGGGACCGAGAAATTAAGAGATATTCAAACACGAAAATGTCCATCGTAACTGCTGTGCAGCTTGTCATAAGTAATCAGGTGCGGGCATGCTTATTGTCGCTATCATGCAGCTGTTTTAACAAGAAGTGTTGAATTTATCTTTTACTTAGGTTATAAAAGAATTACTGTCATACGTCCGAGGTTGGGCACCTCAGATCTATCCTTACACCAACTCCCCTCTGTAAGTCTAAGTAACAGAATGGTGGTTAAATAGATCATTTTGAAACAAATTTATAATTTATAGGTCATGTTGAAAGAAAATATTGTTTTTAAACTAAATTAAAATAAA